GCTTGATGACTTTAAACGCTGGGCTGTTTCAAACTCAGAAACTATGTCATTGCATCCAAAATGCCTAAATCCATCACTAGGGCAGCATCTGAAGTGTGTTATTTTTGAAAGAGAGGCAGATCAGATATCCCTGTAAGGGCAGGAGCCAGAGGAGGGGGAGATCAATCCGTGCCAGGTCATAAACAAAGCAACTTCGCAGCTTCATTTCTTCGAAGCACCTCTATTATTTTTCTCCCTTCTTCCATTAGTCTTCATTAAGGTAATTATTTGACATAATGCACCTCAATGAGATTAAATGACAGAAGTGAAGTGGCAGCTGCTGCCAGATGCACCAAATTTTCTCGCTTCCAAGGTACTTGAAGCAAGTAAGTCTGGATTATAATTTTTTAAGCATCTATTTAAGAAAACCCTGGTGCATTCATCTCCCCAGTTTTCTTAATTCCCTGCTGTTCTGATGATTAATCCAAGCACCTTTTTGCCTCTACAGCGGGGGGGGGGGGGCTTTGTCATGGGCTTTCTCGAGGAAATGCTTCCGAGTAGCCAAAATTATCTGGAGTCAGGGGTGAGGGAGAAGAGAGGAGCATCTCCAGCCAGCAAACCATCCCAGCAGCATGTCCCCTTCCAACAGGAACATCTTTTCAAAACGTTTGGCCTTGGGAAGACTCATCCTTTTGGCAGGAGATGAGCGTTAATGAAGAGCTTGTGCAGCACATCAGTCACGATGGTGCCCACTCGGGCTGTCACGCTTCCCCCGGGCAGGGGAGCTGGCAGGAGGTAGAAGCTGCTGGAAATTGCTTTGCTGTTCCTCAGCCAGATAAAGGTGTGACAAAAACAGCAAAAACATCACCATTACAGAGCCATTGTGTACCCTGGAGATGGGAGCTGCCTCGCCAGGCTTTGCTTAATGGCGCGACAGAGAAATGCCGAACACACGAACCAGCAGGCAACGTTCATTTATTCACATATTTTTTATTAAGTATGACTAAATGTACAAGCCTTGTTATTTGCTAAGGGATTTCCACTCCTCAGAGCCCCTTTATGCTCATTGTGGCTTCTCATTTCTTTTGTTTTCACTCAGCACGTCCCTCCTGTCCCACAGGCAAGAGGACACAGGGGCCGAGGCTTTGCCCTGTGTCACTGTCACCTACCCTGGAACTCCTGATTCCCTTGGAGGGAATCACCCTGTGGTGTGTTTTAGTGGGTTTTTCAAGGGTAAAATATATGCTAAGTTCCTGCTCATGGCTGGCTGGCAGGCAAGAATGAATGGCCTTAATATACTGAGGAGCAAGTGCACATTATTCCACTCAGACAGTCTCTAGGAAAGATCTCAAAATCAGCCCCAAATCTGCATCTACCAGAGCAAACAGCCAAGCAAACAAAAACCTCACTCCACAGGTGTTTCCTGATTTTTAAGCAAACTTTATTTTTATTGCATTTATCCTATCCACACTATTTGCACTGTTATTTCTACAGAGAAGCAACATTTCCATGCACCAAACTTTAGAGAAGGAACTATTAATGAACATAAATAAAAGCAAATAAAGACATTTCATAGTGTTTTGTGTGCAAGGGTTTCCCTGGTCCTGGCTCTTTCTAATGCAGGTTGTGTCAGGGCTTCATTCTGAACTCAGTGCCTCACATTAGAAAATATCCAAATTAGTTGTAACTAATTTCCAAATTAGTTGTAGAGGGCCTTCATCCTGCCACAGAGACAGTTGAAATGAGGTAGAAGCAACAACTGGGGCAGAAGAAGTTCTGTATTTCTTTGCTGATGAGCAACTGAGGAAATGAAATCACCAGATGAGATGTTTTAAACACACAGACATAATGTGAAAAAGTTTCCACAAGTTTCTCACTTATCTGCTGGGGAGCCTCAGTCACTTCTATGACCCAGACAGTTGAGTGGAGAGCAGTGATGGAGTTTGGTGATGAAGAACTTTACAGACACCCCTTCCAGTGGTCCCTGGGTATTTGGATCGCTGCTGACTGAGGACCTGGAGCATTTTGTCACCCCTGTGGTGGAGGGACTGTCATTGCACGGGGGTTTCTGCTGGGAAGGTGTGACACCCAGCCGCAGGGTGAGCCCCAGAGCTGGACACCAGGTGAGGGTGCAGGGAAGGGCAGTGGGGGCAGAGCTGGGCACTGCTGCACTCCTCAGGTGTGCAGCCTGGTGCTGTACCACGTGCCTGTTGTTGCAGCGTTATGGCACTGACATTTAGATGTCACAGCATATGAAATAACCCATAATTGCAGTCTAATTGTTCTTGCCAGAGTTTTATTCTTTCATTACATTGCCTGCAGAGCTTTTGTCTCCCTTCAGCATCACTGGTGCTATTATCCCCCCAGGACACCCCTCCAGCACAGCATCCTAATTACTGTTCCAGGAACCGCCTGTCCCTGTCCCCACCCTGCCTGCTGCCCTCGGGATGAGCAACTTCAGAAATTCACGTTCTTACACCACAGGAAACAGAGGCAAAACTTCTCCCGTGCTCCAGCTGTGGTTCCACGGGGAGCTTTGCCGAGGAGCTGAACCACTGCAAGCACCCTGCGTGAGCCATGGTGGGGACCTGCCACCGGTGAGAGGCTCTGCAATGGCTGGCCCTGGCCAAGCTCCTCCTCTGCAATATCTGTTTTCATCTGTTTGCTGATTTCTGAGAAGTGAGAGGCTTTTTCCTTGAAGCCTCTGGTGGCGAACGCAGCGAGGAAGCCAGGGAGGGGAGAAGGGGTAAGTTTCCTCCAGTTTGTGAAAGTGGCCACACTTCAATTTCTTTAAAATTCCTTTAAATTTCTTTAAAATTTTAATTTCTTCAAAATCCAGTTATTAGCTGAAGAAAGATCACCAGTTCCTCTGTGTCCTCAAGGCACTTTCAAGACACGGTGCATCGCAGCTTTAATAACAACATATCTTTAGAAGAGATTATACAAACCAGCCAGAAATGTAACCAAAAACTAGGAGGGAACTGTGCCAGCCAGATGGGGAAGAGAAGAGCTTGAGATGACCCGCAGAGCTGCCTGTGCTCCCTGAACCTGGAAGCAACAACCCCTCCCTCTCCTTATTTGGGGCTGGGAAAGCATCATTTCCCTGTGACAGCATTGCCCCGGGCTCGGTTACAATAAGTGGTTGGATGGAGCTCCTTAAGCCTGGCACCAGCAGGTCCATCAGGGGAATGCTGCCTGCCCCATTTCCCAAGCAAAGAGCCTGAGGATATTCTTGTCATCACCACCTTCCTCTTCGTTGTTTTGCATTCCCTTGTCCTTCTCTTCATCCACAAAGTTTTCCATGTGCTGCTCCCTTCCACATCGTTGGCACAGCTGTGGTGCAGCCCAGGTCTGTGAGCTGGTCCCTCTGGAGCTGCTCACAGGGATCAGTAGAAAATCACCAGGTAGTTCATTTCTGTGTGCACTTGTCACTACCCAGTCGATTTTGCAACTGTTTAATTCCTTCACATCTGCCTTCTTTGCTTGGTTCGATCTCTAAGAGCATTAACCCATAAAGCCCCAAAGTGATTCGCTTCTTGGCTGTGACTCTGGAACACTGAAGGCGATTTGGACAGAACTTCTCTCTCCTTTGTCTTTCTGATGAGCAATAACTGCTGCTTCGGTGAGACTGACTCACATCCCATCTCCAATAGCACTTGCCAGCCCTCAGGCTGCTTTGCAGAACCATGAGCACCTTCCTTCCTGGTCCCTGTTAACCTGCAGGGTGCAAAAGTGGGAATTACTTCCCCTCCATCACCTGCAATTCAAAATTTGGCCATTGCCTAGGGCCCTAAACCCAGCAACAAGTCCCTCAAAACCACCTGTGGCTTCTGTCACTCCATTTCCCCACTGGCACTGTGTGGGTGCAGCCTCTGTGTCCCAGCTCTAACAGCAGAAGTTTTATGGGTTTAATATCTGCAGGTTATGAAGCCCTAGGGAATGGAGAGGTGTTTTATCACAGATTTGGGTGAGAGGATCACTTTCTCCCAGCTTTGTTTACTAAATATGTGAAGCCACAGAGGTCTTTGCAATCTTTTCCCCCAGGTTTGTACAGACCAGGCTTAGAAATTTGCCTGTGAAATGCTGGACTTGAATCACCCAGCATCAGGACGATCCTTCCTATTTTGGATATGCACCTCAGTGTCTGGGATTAACAGGGATTAAAAGCAAGCTCTCCCCTTGTCCTTTCCTCATCCACAGGTTAGGGGACCCTTAGTATTTATCCCTGCAGAAACAATTGCTCTTTCAATATGAAAAAGCATTTTCTGACTGAGTGCTGAGACATCAGGAGCCAGAATGGAGCTGGCAGCAAATTCTGGCTACTCCTGTCCATCAGGGAGATATCAGACACCCCAGCCTGACCATCAGGGAGATACCAGGCACCCCTGCCAGGGTGGGGGGAACAGTGGACCCTGAGGCTGGGCTGGGAACACGAGGAACCCACAGCCCGGAGTCCTGGAGTGGACACAGTGCTGGGGAACTCTCAGCCCCTGCGTCTCTGCACCCTGGCTTCTCTAACCTGCAACCCCATCCCCTGCCTGGGCTCCTTCCTCCTCCTCTCCTGCTCAGCAGAGCGCTAGGACCCGGCGGGAGAAGGCGGGGGATGCCGGTGGGAGGCGATGGGGGGTCCCGGGGGTGGAGGTATCCCTGACGGGGATGCAGGCGGTCCCGAGGGAGTCCTGGTGATTCCTGGGGGTCCCGGCGACTGAGGGAGGTCCTGGAGGGTCCCGGGAGCTGGGGGTCCTGGGCAGTCCCGAGTGGTTCTCAGGGCTGGGGACTCCTGGAGGGTCTCGGGGACTGGGGGGGGTCCTGACCGCTCCCCGCCCCTCTCGATGGGGAGTTTGCAGGGGAGGGGGGTGCAAAGAGCCAGGCGGCTGCAAGACTTGGGGTGAATGGTTGGAAAGAAGGGAGGGAGGAGCCCGGGGTGGGCGGGAAGGCGGGGAGGGGGCGCGGGGGCAGCCCCGGCTCCCGGCTCTCGCCGAAAGGTTTGCGGGGCTCCTCCGCGAACGGCTGCGGGGACGATGGAGAACGGCTCGGGAGCAGCGCTGGGCGGCAGCGGCAACCAGAGCCTGGGTAGGATGCCCCGGCAGCCCCTGGAGCTGCAGGTGGTCACCATCCTGCTGGTGCTGCTCATCTGCGGGGTGGGCATCGCGGGCAACGCGATGGTGGTGCTGGTGGTGCTGCGCGCCAGGCACATGGTGACCCCCACCAACTGCTACCTGGTGAGCCTGGCGGTGGCCGACCTCATAGTGCTGCTGGCGGCCGGGCTGCCCAACATCTCCGAAGTGGTGGCTTCTTGGGTGTACGGCTACGCCGGCTGCCTCTGCATCACCTACCTGCAGTACCTGGGCATCAACATCTCCGCCTGGTCCATCGCTGCCTTCACGGTGGAGCGGTACATCGCCATCTGCCACGCCATCAAGGCGCAGCTCCTGTGCACCGTGTCCCGCGCCAAGCGCATCATCGCCTCGCTGTGGCTCTTCACCTCCCTGTACTGCCTCATGTGGTTCTTCCTGGTGGACACGACCCAGGTCACCTTCTCGGACGGGGCGCAGGTCAGCTGCGGCTACCGGGTCTCCAGAAGCCTTTACCTGCCCATTTACTTCTTGGATTTTGCCGTCTTCTACGTCATCCCGCTGGGGCTGGCGACCGTCCTCTACGGCCTCATCGCCCGCATCCTCTTCGTGAGCCCCCTGCCCGCCGCCCCGCAGCGTTCCTGCCCGGGCTCCGTGCACCAGGGCACCTCCCTGCAGCTCTCCTGCCGGGCCAACAAGGGGGCCCTGAGCTCCCGCAAGCAGGTAGGGGGTCCCTGAGGTGCTGAGACATGCCGGGCTGCAGGCAGCACTGCCAGGGGCTCGGGGCTTCGAGGGGTATTGTGGCACGGGATGAGGTGCCAGAGTGTTTTGCTTCCCTTTGTGGGGGCAGTGGAGGGGGTTGGTTTGCTGCAAAGAAGGCTCCCCCAGGCCTGGCTGGGGTCTGGCAGCACCGACGGGTTCCCCTGCGTGGAGCTGGACAGGGCTTCAGCAGCGCTTGGGAGCTGCAGGAGTGCAGGCATGTTTGCTGGTTAATTCATTACTGATGGCATCCCCCAGGAGGGGAAGGCTGGGTCACTTTATGCCAGTGAGACTCACCTCTCAGACAGTGTCCTGGGCAGGTGACCTCGGATTTAAAGGAGCAAAGGGAAAGGAGAGCTGCCTTCCCTCTGAGCCCAACCCTGGCTGCAGCACCCCCAGTCCCTGCAGCTGCGGAAGGTACTTCGATGTCACAGTGATGTGTTTGCCTCTCAGTGGTTCCTCTGTCATTCAGCTGCCTGCTCACTCCCCATATCCTTCTCCTTCCACCTCCTCCTGCCCTCATTCCCCCTCTTTCCCTGTACACGTGGACAATCTCTGCCTCACATTCCATCCCTTTGGACAGGTCAGCATCTAGACATGGGACACTCCTGCCTGTCCACTCTCCTGCTGCTTGCAGGAGGCCATCCCTTTCTGGATAGGCAGAGACACGGTCTGTTTTAAATGAAAGGGATGAATTTGGGAGTTTGTTTGGAGCCTACCCTAAAGTCCCTTTGTTTCCAACTCAATATCTTGTTGCCTGCCTTGCGCAGAAACCTCAATTTCCCAGAAGAGATGAGTCAGAGTCACGGAGGGGAAGCGACCAGCCCAGAGAACGAGCGTTTCTTCAAGGACTTCTAAGTCCTTCCAGTTCAGCTTTTCCTCCCTTTTTCTCCAGCACTGAAAGGTTTAAAGCCAGTGCTGACTTTCTGCAGAAGTGTTTGCCTGTTCTCCCGAGGCCCCACTGGCTGCTGTGGGAGCCTCGGGCAGGGTGTTCAGCAGCGAGAGCTGTCGATACAAGGCGGGTGGATGGACCTCTCCTTCCAGAGCAGCTGCTGGAGGGGCTGTGCCTCTCCCCCACCATCATACTGTGCCGTGGAGTGGCTGGGCTGCACAAAGCATGCTCCAGCGTCATTAGGACAAGTGGCTGTTGGGGCTGGATGAGGGGCACTCCAGCTCCTGGAAACATCCTGTGCTCTCTTTTCCTTTACCCTGGGAGTTCACTCGAGATCGTCATTACCTCCAGAAATATCTTAGCATGCAGGCTTCTCCTGGCTGGCCTGACATCATTAGGAATAAAGGTGGCACTGAGTTTTTAAAACTATAAAGCAGTTTTCCAGGCTTCCTGCGGCTGGGTGTGTGTAGCTCAGGAGGGCCCTCTGACCAGAGTACCCACATTCCTTCTCTGGTCTCTCTTTATAGAGGAGCTGGTTCTTCCAGGTTTTGCTCTTGCTCCTGCACAGCCCCAGCACTGCACCACTTTCAGGGCGTGAAGATGCTGCTCTTCCCTCACTGGCGCCTCTAAAACACTCAAATCCAGAGCAGGACAACACAAGGTGCAAGTTTTACTGTGTTTATCGCTGATACAAACGCCAGCCACTTCCAAGCACTTATTTCACCTGCTGGGGAGGGACCACTAGAGGGAGTGGGATTCCTAAAAAAAAAAGGATGTGCAGCTCAGGACGATGGCACGGGAACCAGGAGGGGGGACATTGGCCGGGGAGATGAGCTGCCCCTCATCTCTGGCATAGGGAACCAGGATGTTGTCAGGAATCTGCACAGCAGGTATTCTTGGCCATCCAGTAACACTGGTTTATGTGCTTAAAAGTAGTTTTCAGCTAAATATCAACTGGTAAAACATCCTCTTCTGTCTGCAAAGCCTTGTCTTGCTTCTGTCCACAGCTCATTGACAGCTGTTCTGTGCACACACTGGATGCAACAGAGTCCTGGCAAAACACTTGCAAAAATTGTTGTCCCTGAGCTGGTGCTACCCTGAGAGAGATGCTCGAAGGCTACAGCAAAGCTCTGGCTTTTTTGAGTTCAGCTTTTTTGTTGGGAGTCATAATTCAGGACTGCTGCAGAAAGTGATAAATGTCCCAAACTTTCCTGAGTGCTGATTAGGTTCATTTTTCACAAGAGCACCTCGAGTAAGTTCAGAGCACCTCAGCAAGGTGGAATGAGGAGAGGCACAGAGACAGGTTTCAACCAGTCATGCCAACACTGGAGGGGTTTTTTTCCCCAGGATGGAGATCCAAGAGTGAGTTTGGGATAAACCATCAGGTTTTATCCAGAGGAAGCATCCTGTGTCCACAGAACTTCGCTGCAGTCACACCCAGCTACAGCCATGAGGACTTGTAGAGATTTTGGCCATGGTCAGCAGTGTGGCAGGCAGCCCCTGTCCAGGAATAATTCTACAGACACTGGCTGTTGCCCACTAGGTAGGGTGGCCTAAGACCAAAAGCCTGTGAGATGTGTCTTGCTCTTCTGATTCCAGCCAGCCCTTGTAAAGGCATTGCAAAGCTCTGAAGCTTTTACTGACACCACTTGCACATTCTCTCATATCTTTCCCAAAAGGCAGCAAACTGTGGCAGCAAACAAGCTGGAATCTTAGCAACAGCCTCAGCACTCATTGTATCACTGTGAGATCTTATTCTGGGAAGTGTCCTCACATTTCCGTTAAACCACACACAGCAAATCCCTTCTATTTTGGCCTCAGCGTGGTAACAGTCCCTTTCTTGTAGGGAAAGTTTTGTTGCCACTACCAACCACCCCCAAATTCTACTCACAGCGTTACAGGAAGGCATAGTTCCTTGTGAGGAAGTAAAAAAAGCACTCCAAGAAAAGTTGAGAGACTGTAAATGCGATCTATGATTATTTCCATACCGAGAACTGGAGTTGTTGCACAACTCCCTCCTGACGTTTGCAACGCCACTGCCTTGATATGTGTGTGGCATCAGTGTTTAGTCATACTTTCCTCCGTGGGGACGTGTGGATTTTGTAAGTATTTGTTGCAGGAGGATTGTCACCTCCCAGAAATAGCTGTTGAAATTTATTAGGATCACTGGGGTTTCGGTACAAACACCCATTTCCCTAAACAAGCTTATGTTGAGTTGAGGGCAATTACTGCTCACTTCTGAATTCTCAGTTTCTTCTTGTTCCCACTATGTTAATGTAGTACTTCCCCAGTGTGCTGCAAATTAAAATAACCCATGCCAATTAGCTAAGTAACTCCCATATCAGCACAAGGAGGAATTTCTTTAAGACTCCTGACAGTCTCCTCTGCTCCCAGTGTTGCTCTGTGTCAGGAGCCTGTTTCCTGGAACAGTATATTTGATATAGGAAACTCTAGGCAGGGAGATGAGATATATCCTAGGGTATCCCAAAGCTTAGATCTCCACCTTTGGACAAGTATTTTCCCCACTGTTTTATTGTTATGTACAATTGTCAAGTTTTTGTTTTGTTTTGTTTTTTTTTTTTCTGGTACAGAAATTCCTATGAGTATCCTAGCCCATTTCCAGGATGGTGGATGGTTCTAAAGCATTTTAAAGGATCTTCAAGGATAGATGAAAACCTATAATTTAAGGGTTTACTTATGCAAGACTGTTTCCTGAGTAAAATGGTTTCAGGGACAAAGAGCTCCACAATTTGGGTGCCTGTTTTAAATGCTTAAAGTGAGATAAAAGCACTGTGTGAACTGAACGAGCTGTCTGCAGCACTTCTCCAGGCGGGAAGGTTCTGCTGGAGGTCCAGCATCACCTGACTATGTCTCTTTTTGCATATCCCCCTCCTGCAAGGTGACCAAAATGCTGGCTGTCGTGGTGGTGCTCTTCGCCCTGCTGTGGATGCCTTACCGCACGCTGGTGGTGGTGAACTCCTTCATGGACCCGCCCTACCTCAACACCTGGTTCCTCCTCTTCTGCCGCCTGTGCATCTACCTGAACAGCGCCATCAACCCCATCATCTACAACCTGATGTCCCAGAAGTTCCGGGCTGCCTTCAGGAAGCTGTACAAGTGCGAGGAGAAGCGCGCTGAGCACCCTGCCCCGTGCGCCGTCCCCGTGTCCTACAGCGTGGGGAAGGACTGCTCCCACCACAGCTCTGACCACAGCACTCCCCAGCAAGGGGACCTCAGCAGGCTCCCTGGGCCTGCAAAGAAGAGCAGGCAAATCCTGGGACCCTGAAAGGATGCAGGCTGTCCAGCTGTGTTGGGAAAACGCCGAGGGAAATGGCTTTGGCGCTGGCAGCAAGCTGCGTTTAACAAACACTCCTGCAGGGCATTTCACAAAGCACATCGTTAAAGGCGAATCAGTCGGGCTTTCCCTTCACGCTAATTTGTTCTTGTTTGGTGAAGTGTTTGGCACAGGTCGGTGTTTAGCATCTTTAAAGCATCTCTTGTAAATACAGCAGTGCCATTCTGTGTTACCAGTTGCTTGTTGAGCTGGGCCAAAGCGTTGAAAGGAAAACCCGGGAAGAGAAGAACATTCAAGGAAATAAGAAAACAACCTCTTTTTGCTGGAGCCATTTTCTTAGAGAGTGAGACTCTCCCACCCAAATTTACATGCCTCTGGCACAGACACCCCATGGGAGCTGCTTCTCCAGAGCCCTTTTGGAGTTAATGGGGACAATTAGGCACTTCTAAGCAGTGTCTCCTCTCAGCACAGTCCTCTGAGGAATACACAGCCCTGCTGAGGAGATCAGTGCCTCCCGAGATTTCATGGGGACACATTTATTGCTGCTGTCGTCTTGTGAGCAAAGTGGATATTCATAACCTTCAGCATCCAAGAAACCAGCCCAAGAACACTTGACCCAGACTTGCAAGAGACTATCTGGACTATGAGTAAAATGAAAAAGATTACACACGAGCCAAACCCGAAGGATCTTGCCAAATAAAACAAGTCTCAGCCACCAGTAACCCTCGAGTGACTGCAAAAAATTACTTGAACAGCCAGTGCAGCCTCACTAGTCAACACTGGTTTTCAGCAAACTATGGCGTTAAAAGATCTTAGAATTTTGCATCCACTCAGGAAAAATATCTGCGTGATATGTTTAAGAGCACAAGATGTTGGTAACTATTCTGCATCACTTGGCTGGGTGAGTCAGGACAAGACCTCAAGTTACCCTGGTGTGTCAGAACCGTCCAGGACCCATCTCATTGTGTGTAGGGTGGCTTTGCATGAATAATTATTATACTGTGAATTATTAAACCAGCTACTTTGCCCCTAAAATAACTATAGGATGAAGGAAGAGAATGATTTGAAACGTTCAAATTTGGAATTTAAGGATTCATGCCACTTTTGCACTCTTTTGTGTATATTGTGTGCATTGGGAATTTAGGCACAGAGTTCCTATTCACCGTTGTTGTGGAAGTTCTGCAGAGACATTTGGCATTTGCTTCTTGAAGAAGATGGAAGTGTTTTTGCTAACAGGGGAGAATTCGCCTGAAACAATATTTTCTCTGGTACAGATTTTGTTGGGTTTTTTTCCTCTTAGATTTTTCCTTAGCAGCTCAGAACAAGCCATTGATAAAAGGCATCAAACCAGAGCAGCAAGGAGCAGGGAGGAGGAAGAGGAGCCCTGGGCCATTGCTGGGACCTCGAGCACAGGCAGCATCTCCTCGGGGATGGGCTGTCCTGTGTCCCCCAGCCTGTCACCCTGAAGCTGTGGATGCAGAGAGCAGCAGGGAGGTCAGCTTTGCCCTGAGGCCATGTGGGAAGGGGATTTACTGTCCGAGCTTTGAACCCCTCTTGCATCCTGACCTGAGGCATTTTTCAGGCATGGGATGTGCCCTTTGACAGACAGCCTTGATCTCTGCCAACACAAGGAGCAGCTTAACTCTAAAGTACCTCCAGCAGGATATTTTCCACCTCCTCATCACGTTTCCAATCTTCCCTGTTCCCATTTGTGGTTTTTTTCCCCCCAGAGAGAGACATCCTAAAAGCACTATTCTCTTAATTAAATTTTAGCCTCAGCCCAACAGCTAATTGATAGTCCTGAAATTTTTGTTCAGCATACTTAGCATTCAATTAAAACTCGGTTCTGCTCTCCCCTTTCTGCCCTCAGCTGCCAAGTACAGCATGACCCTGTGTTATTTTGTGAGCAGTAATTGGCAGATAAATTCCCCTGGCACCACGAGTTCCCCGGCAAACTCACCAGAGCGTTAAACTCTGCAGATGAGCAATGAGTTCCTGCTCTTTCCCCCTCCGTGTATTCTGACACTTTAGGAGGAGCTGAGAGATTTTTAGGTGGAAGTGGAGGCAGAAGGTCAGCACTCAGCTTGCTGGAGAGATGCTGGCTAAGAGGACAGGCAGCTACGTGCTGCTGGGAAATAAATCACTAGCAGAAAGGAATTAGAAGAAATAACTCATCACTGCTACTTCCTCTGGATATCCAGGGTCTGAATAAAAACCTCAATTCCTTGTAAGAAATAAAAGAGCTCCCTTCAGGCTTCAGCCTGCACTACCTTGTGTCTTGCAACATCCCACCCTGCTCGTAAAGTCTGAAACTGTATTTTACCCTCAGCATTTATTTGTCTCAGTGGCATGAGTGTAGGCTGTGAGTTTATAAATATGCCATCAAATAAAGAATCTATTGCTCCCAAACAATCTACCACATTGAAGCTGCTCCTCAAGTTAATCTAACCTGCTACTCTCCTAATTAAAGCCCATTATTTCTCACCCCTGCCCTTCCAGTGCTTGTTAACCTGCTTAAACACATTCTGGTTTCTTCAATTACAAACCAATACGTCCCCTGGCAGGGGAGGAGGGACCTGGTACTGCTGCAGAGCCTTGGGGAGAGGGGAAGAATTTGTGAGCAGTGCAAAGAGGGGGATGGAGGACGCAGGGCCTTGGGAAAGGGCTGCTGGGAGAGGGGTGAGTGAGGTTTCTGGGCCGAATAACCCCAGGTTGGCTGAAGCTCCTCATGTTCATCAGGGACTTTCAATCTAGGAGACACCACATCCAACATGATCACCTGAATCTGGCTGGCTCAGTGACAGAGCCCACACAGTAAGTGCCTCTATGCGGCACATGGGACCTCAGCAAAGGTTATGTACTCCTGCAAAACACGCAGGTTTAAATAACTTACCAAAATCTTCAGTTTAAGCTCCAGTCAGCTGTGTCTTTGGGTGGTGGAACATTGGGAAAATTGGGCATCTATGCCAGCCTGTGCCAGAGGAGAGCATGGCCATGCTGATGGCTCCTTGGGAGAGCCTCTCCCCTACAATACTGGCCAGCACTCCAGAAGCCAACCTGTCCCAGGGCCACGTTAGGAAGTGACCCACAAAACACCAGCAGCTCCCTCAACATGGGACAAAAAGGCCATGAGGGTACCCAGCACCTCCCTGCAACCAGAGGAGGTTTCCACTCTGTGGTCCCAGCCTGTGGAGAGAACAGGGCTGAGATCAAACAGTGGTACCTTTAAATGAATAATACTCAGGTCACTGAAGAGGATGCTGAGCAATTGCTTAAATTTTTCCAGAGCCACAAGAAGGCATGGACCCCACATTAGGGAAAGGATTGGATACAGCCCCTCTTCAATCTGGTCTGGCCCCTGGCTGCTTCTTTGAACTAATTAGTTCAAGCAGGCCACAATTAAAGAGATGCTGTTAAAGCCAGGGGACAGTCCTACAGCAAAATCAATGTAATCACTCAGCAGTTATTTATTTTGCACTTCATGTTTCCCAGGGCTTCTGGAGGGCTCTTTGGCCAGCGTTTCCCCTGAACCTGCCTCCTCTCTACTGGCTCAGGGGTTGCTCCTCAGGACTCTTCAAACCACGGCATCTGTTCCAGGAGCACACTGGGACGCACAGCAGATCAAAGCTTGTCAGTCCTGCAGGACTTTTATTAAAATACCCTGTTTAGCAGTTAACGATCCCTGCCCATTTCTGCCCTGCCAGGGTCTAAATGCAGCCTCCAGTGGGAGGGCACTGCCTGTGCCCCAAATCCCAGGTGCTTGCCCAAGGGAGGGAACTTGACTGCAACACCACAGGGTCCCTGTGACATGGGTGATGGGCTGAATTGTCTTTAACAATCACCTTATGAACTGGGCTCTGAGTGTGCTGTTTCTATAGAGACAGGGGATGCTGCAACTGCGCTGGTGGCCTCCCTGTTCCTCCAGGAGGGACTGAATGCCTGAAGCCACAAGCTGGGAAGCTTTTAAAAGCTCTTTCCTCTCAAGGAGAAGGTCCTGGGGTGGTCCTGGTGATAATTTGATTCTGAGATCCTCAGTGAGGGCTCATGATGTTCCCAGGCTGGCTGATCCCGTCTGCCCTTTTGGGCACAGTGTGAGTGGCTGCTCAGAGGAAATGAAATAAAATAAAAGCAACTTTTTCCAGCTGTGCAGTGCCAGCATTTCTGGTAGAAGAGAAGAGGAGAGGGTGGCCACTGTGGGGCCCCTTGATGCCAGCCCTGAGCCGGGCACAGCATGCCCTTGGCTTTCAGAGCAGGCTGGGGGCTAAGCCAGGGGCCAGGCATGGGAAAACATTTCACTGGAGTTGCTGATGGTGTCTCTTACTGCTCCTGGGACTCACACTGGCTTCCTCCAGGAAGGGTCCCGAAGCAAAGCAGTGGTGTGGAGCCAGCCCCATTCCTGGCTCCTGGGCCAGTTCCTGGGCCAGAAAGCAGCACAGGAACCCCTCTGCACCTTCCAGCACCTACTCCCTGCCAGAACCACCCTCAGCCCAGCTCTGGCCCTTCCTCTCGTGCAAAGATGAAGGCCAAGAGAAAAGGTTGCTGCTGAGAGCCCCGATGGCCTGCAAGGACGGTGGAGCTGTCTTCAGGACGCCTGGGCAGGTCACTGTCAAAGGACACTGGGGCTCAGATTGCACCTTCCCTCCCACCAGGGCAGGGTAAGGCTGCCCTTCGACACAGGATCAGGCCAGTGCCTTTAGCCTGGTTCTCACATATCAGACACCTCCCTGCCCTCCCTGGGGACACTCAGATGGACACGCTGGGGGGACATTCCCCCTGAAACCAGCAGCTATCGAGGCACAGACCCCAGCACTGTTCCCCTTCCCCTGGGGAAGGTGCAGCCTTCTTGTTCTGCCTTTATTAATCCTTTTAAAGCAACGTGTCATTGCTCCAGCAGCAGACCCACCTCCCTCCCTGCTGCCTCTGCCACACATGGGCCAAAGACCTGCTCCATTCATCAGCCTGAGATTTATGAGGTGCACGGCGCTCCAGTTACCCTGCTGTCCCCAGCTGATGAATGAGATGCGGCTGGTTCCTCGCATACCAGAAGCAAAACAAGCCCAGAGGAGAGTAAAGCCATCGTTTCATCAAACTCAGCTCCTTAAGCCTCTACCAAAGCATGAAATCTTCTGCCACAAGACTCCTTGAACGAAGCCAAGGGTGGCTCTCCTGCCTGCAAAGACTGAGCCTGCATCCCACCAGGCTCTCTGCACAACCCAGCTTTGCTCATGTGAGACGCTCCAGAAATAGAAAAGGGATTGAAGGTTTCAGCTACTCTGGATTCCTCAGGTCCTGCTGCCCTAGGCTGGTGCTGGGCCCTGCTCTTCCCTCCTCCCTCCTCCCTAAATCACCCCTCTGCCATCTCCCTGCCCCTCGGGTCTGGCTTTCCTCTCTCTTGGGTTGTTTCAAGAGGCTGAGTGAGAGGATGGGTCACAGGCAAAGGAGAATCACTGCTGCCCAGACCCAGG